ATAATAATAATAAAAAAAAATAATAATGAATAACATCAAACTAACTAAATGTAAAAGCTACCATGTAGAAACTAATGGTGTGCGGTGATCTATTTAGGACAGTGCCGAAAGTAGCGGCGTAGCCGAGTGGTTAACGCGTCGCACTAAGGATTACGGACCGCGTGGGTTCAAACCCTATCGGGGACAAGCCCGTGTTTCCTTGAGCAAAAATACTTTACACTCATTGCTTAGTACTGGTTGATTCCAGGAACGAATTCGAGAGTGTTTCAATAGCTTATACCTTTCAACACAATCGAACTAAAATAAATAAGTAAAAACTAAAACATGTCTGTAACGCCATCTGTTCTTTTTCAACAGTTATGTCGATTTCTGTAGAATGATTATACACAAGTTATCTTATATGTAACGTAAACCAGGCTTCCTCAATGCAATCTTATCAAGCATTATTTTAACTTCAGTACACAAACTGTATTTCTCAACAATAGATCTTGATATTTCAGATAGTCTTGGTTGGCTTGTTTATAATTTCCTGGATTGCATAACGTTACATATTTCTATTAAAGGCCCATTGTGTCATTGGAATGTTCAAAAGTAATTTATTTTTGTTGTCTTGTTATATTTTCCAAACAGTTACTCATTGGCCAATTTCATGAACCATCTTTCGCTTCTGTTGTTTTTGGCAACAAGTACATTTATAGTGATTTTATATCTTGCATGTCAAAATACTACTTTGTTTACATTTTGTTACTTTTATGACAAATTGTTTAACATTCCGCGTATTACCTTATGGAAACATTATGGAAATCTACAATTAGTTATAAGTTCTATTTCCCCCTTTGATTTAGTATTTTATTTGGCCATGGCCATGGGCTATAGGTAACATTACATATTCAAACAAAAAATAGAAATGAATAAGATCAAAAACTTTCATTCAAAATGTCATTCACATATAATGCAATATGTATATACGAAGTTTATAGAAGTTTATTTTAAATATTCCATGGACTAAATGGTCCGTAGAGGCGACACAAAAATTGTATGTTATTATTGAATATAACTATTAAAAACAAGAGACATTCAACTGCAAACATTTATAAAACTTAAATAAATTACTGGTATCACTGTATAGCAAAACTTAGGGAGAGATTATCTTCATACATTGCATTGAATGCAAGTGACAAAAATATATTATGTGTAATATAAATTTATATTCATACATGTTTGTGATCAAACAGTCAAAATTTGACAATGAATTGTATAATGAGTTGTATCAAGGTCGGTTTGATTACTTTTTTTCCGCACAAACCACGAGAATGATAAAGTATGTCATTCCTCGCTTATTTTAACACATGTATTAAAGGCCCATTATCCACAAGAAGTGGCTTTATCTTTATTTCTAAAAAGCTTTTTAAATTTGTTGTCCTTTTTTATATTGTCTCATTGACCAATTACCTGATTCAAAGTTTACTTCTGTTGCTTTCTTAAAATTAGTACAGCCATAGTGATTTTGTAGTTTTTATGGAAGTCAAAATACTGCTTTGTTTATACGTATTACGTATAACACGTATTTTGCGTCTTTTTTAATGACAAATAGTGTCACATTTCAGTGCTACTTTCTTTATGTAACAAGCACCTGACATTCTCTAAAACCGTTATCTAATCATTACAAAGCTCGCGTTTTTCCTTGGTAGATAATGAAAATTTATTCGTTTCTAAGACATGATGTGCCTTTAAGCAGTTTATTTGATTTATACTACGTTAAACTGTTTATATATTCCATAAATGTATGCATTTCCGTTAAACTTTTACTTTTATCTGATTTAAATCGCATTCTTAAACATGTTTAATGAATATATTCCGCTAATTAGGAAAATACAACCAAATTCTGACTTTGCTATTTTTATTAGTTTTCGGACACATTTTGTTTTGATATTATGATTACCCACTCAAAGCATATTTTTACTTACCATGACAATTATATTGTTTTTTTTTTTAAATTGAAAATATTATTTGGGATAAAAAGAGTCCCTGCCACAGCCCCAACCCTGTCAAATCTACATCAAATTATTTAAAAAGGCAGTTCTTCAGTCTGTTGTAATTATTTGATAGTTTCGGTAGTTCTATTGAACTTGCATTGACCGTCTTTCGTTTTAATTATAGTGTTTGTGTATTTCATATGAGACATTTTGATCAATATCTATTACTGAACAATAAAATGATGTGTTGTTGTGCCGAAAAAATCCTTTCCCAGAGTTATAATTATTTCAGCAGGAATGTCTTGATTTTTTTTATACTTTCAATTCTGTAAAAATATAGATTATAACCATACATTCAGCATATACTTGAAGTCGGAATTTAAATTCCGATACTAGTAAGATATCGACGTAAAATTAGTTCAGAATAATTTAAAACATAAAGAAGCACGTTCTTTCCATAATGTTTTTTTTTATAATCTGACAAACTTCTTGAAAAATAAAAATTATCATATTGTTATCAAAGTCTTTGAAATTCTCATTAACCATTTCCATGAAATTGTTATTTTATTACAGAAAATTCAACGAAAGGGTATCAGTGATGTTAAAACAGTCACAAAATATTGGTTCTAAAGAATTTGTAAGAAAAAGAATCGCGTTTTTATATTATGTCTGCCTTCAAAATTTCGTTTTTTTTTATAGAAGTCATTAGCCAAGAATCTGTTATCACGATAACTTTTATCTCAAACCCTACATCTTAATTCTCCCTAGTTTCACCTTAAAACTCTGCACAGGGGTATGATGAGTTTTCGTTAATTTGAATATGTTTTTCAGAAATGTTGAAGAAAGAACGAAAATCAATGCTAAAACATTTCTATTTATTTAAATTTCGTCTAAAATGTCCTTATAAATATGTCTGGTATCTCTTTAAGCGTCTAAATTTCATGAACCAGCTCAGGCTAATAGGAAGAGCACCGGATTTGTTGTCCGGGGCCACTGGTTTGATCATCGGATGAGCGGAAATTTCTTCGTGATATCAGATCTCAGTTGAGTTTAATGGTCATTGCCTTTCACAGCTGATTCAGAAATAATCATTTCTTATGATTTTCCTGATTAGGTTATTAATTATAAGGAATAATCGTAACGCCCCTCCCTGCTTTGTATGAATGGCTTTCCCGACCGTTTTTGGTTGCTCTGCTGGGCACCGGTGGTCCTGTCTGGCAGGGTTTAGCGAAGGACTGTGTTCAGTGAATTTCGCCTTGCCTTCTCGATCTTTGTTCTCATTTTTGAGGGTATGCTCGTAAAGACATCGATGAATACATGATCATGTATAACTTGTATACTTATATTCAGTAAAATTGCGCAGTAATATGTAGGTCCTAAAATAAATAGCGAACTTAACATTTGCAATTGAAATTTCTTCTTAATTGGTTTGACTGTGTCGTACAAGTTTTTTGTTGTTGTTTATTGTTGTTGTTTTTTTCATCATCAATTCGGACTGACAAATACTTGATGACATATTTTTCCTTTGATTTTTACCCACTTGTACAAGTATATTACCTTCATTTTAATTTTCCCCAACTTTTATAAATAATTAAAATAAAAGCAAATGCTAAAGGCAAAGTACATCAAATATGTAACATGTCCACACCCATATGTGCTATTTGCCGTGAATTTAATTAAATTTTAAACACTGCATAATTAACTTATTAGAAGTCATCTAGCTAAAACACATTATTTCTTTTAGCTTTACTGCGATTTAAGTTTTTTCGAGTCGCTGTCCTGGAAACCATCCCGCATAGCTCAATCGGTTAGAGCGCGAGACTTGTAATGCAAACTCGACATTAAAGGTTCGATCCCCGGGCTGGTTAACTAAAATTACTAAACAGTCTTTCGGACTTTAAATCGAGGTTTCGTGTATGAGTGTTTAAACACTTGACATATTAGAGAACCGAGGGAAACTTCTGGATAGGAGCATCTCTCTGTATCTGTATCTTGCACTATCCTAAAAAAATCTAAACTGACTAATACTCTTCTGTAGGACTCGTCTATATGAGCAACCGGTGGCAAGTATGAATAAACCGAAATTCTCGTTAAACTGTCCTTGGAGCTAACCTGTATAGGTGTCATATCACATGAAAGATATAACCTATACGCCACAAACCAACTAGCAGAGGGGACAGGTATCTCAGGTTCCCTTTAAACCTTTTATTAGCTTAAAAGAATAATGTTAAGTTTTTTGTGTGTCAAACTTGGCAGCTTTTTCTTGATTTCATTAACTTTGAGTGAAGATCCGACATTGTAGTATTTTCACCATTGCTCTTTTATATAACCCTATCTTAAGGTAATATCTTAAAAAAGATCAATTTGAAATAATTTAAAATACCTTAAGATGAAATAATGAATTCACGAAGCTGAAGTCGTGAAGTTCAAAACGTGAATTCGCGAAGTTGAAATCGTGAATTCGTGAAGTTGAAATCGTGAATTCGGTAAGTTGAAATCGTGAATTCGTGAAGTTGATAACGTGAATCAATGAAGTTGAGATCGTGAATTGGTATGTTGAAAACGTGAATTCACGAGGTTAAAATGTGAATTCACGAAGATGAAATCGGGAATTCATGAACTTCAAGTTTAAATGCCCCTACCGGTCTTTCATTATATTACTTTTTAGTTCATTGCTTTAAGGCATTTCACTCGGACATGTTTGGGATGTATAGTTGACGTTAAGGTTATTCAAAACAATTGAGCCGCGTCACGACAAAAACAACATAGTGCGTTGGCGACCAGCATGGATCCAGACCAGCCTGCGCATCCGCGCAGTCTGATCAGGATCCATGCTGTTCGCTGTCAGTTTCTCTACTTGTTATAGAGTTGGGAAGCGGACAACATTGATCCTGATCAGACTGCGCGGATGCGCAGGCTGGTCTGGATCCATGCTGGTCGCAAACGCACTATGTTCGTTTTGTCGTGACGCGGCTCAATTATTTGTTCACATGTATTTACAATGTATCTATAATATATTTGCAGGTATGGTTTATGGACAAGTGACAGAGGATCTTGGACCAGTAGGACCTAGTTTTGACACGTGTGAAACTATCATTTGTCCTGTAAACTCAAAATGTGTGGACGATATGGGATATGTTTCCTGCTTATGTAATCCAGGAAAAACTGGTAGCCATTTAAAACAATGATATTTTATAGTTATGCCCCCCTTCGAAGAAGAGGGGGTATATTGTTTTGCTAATGTCGGTCTGTCTGTCTGTCTGTCGGTCTGTCCGTCGGTCTGTCGGTCTGTCCGTCGGTAGACCACATGGTTTCCGCTGATTATCTTGAAAAGTATTTATCACAAAGTCTTCATATTTTACATAGTGATTGGTCATAACTAGTAGATGACCCCTATTGATTTTGGGGTCACTAGGTCAAAGGTCAAGGTCACAGGGACCTTAAATGGCAAAATGGTTTCCGCTGATTAGCTTAAAAGTATGTATCACAAAGTCTTCATATTTCACACAGTGAGTGGTCATCACTAGTAGATGACCCCTATTGATTTTCGGGTCACTAGGTCAAAGGTCAAGGTCACAGGGACCTTAAATGTCAAAATGGTTTCTGCTGATTATCTTGAAAAGTATGTATCACAAAAGTCTTCATATTTCACACAGTGATTGGTCATAACTAGTAGATGAACCCTATTGATTTTGGGGTCACTAGGTCAAAGGTCAAGGTCACAGGGGCTTTAAATGTCAAAATGGTTTCCGCTGATTATCTTTAAAAGTATTCATCACAAAGTCTTCATATTTCACATAGTGATTAGTCATAACTAGTAGATGACCCTTATTGATTTTGGGGTCACTAGGTCAAAGGTCAAGGTCACAGGGGCTTTAAATGTCAAAATGGTTTCCGCTGATTATCTTGAAAAGTATTCATCACAAAGTCTTCATATTTCACATTGTGATTGGTCATTACTAGTAGATGACCCCTATTGATTTTGGGGTCACTAGGTCAAAGGTCAAGGTCACAGGGGCCTTAAATGTCAAAAGGGTTTCCGCTGATTATCTTGAAAAGTATTTATCACAAAGTCTTCATATTTCACCTAGTTATTGGTCATAAGAATTAGATGACCTCTATTGATTTAGGGGTCATTAGGTCAAAGGTCAATGTCACATGGGCCTTAAATGTCAAAATGGTTTCCGTTGATTTTTCCATAATTGAACACTTCCATGTACCCATTTTTGGCAAGTTTCTTTAATAAAATTACCAATTATGTGAGTCAATGGCTAGAAAGGGGGGTATATGTGTCGTTCGACATTCTTGTTATTCTTTACGCCAACTTTCTTTTTCTTAACCCCAAAGCCCTGCTGGAATCATTTTTGATTAGATCTTGTTATCATTTTGAGACCATATCCGTGCAGGCTGGTTCTAAATTGTTGGCAGCTCTTTTTGAATTTTGATATCGAAATCCCTTTACCTGTAAATGTACTGTTCCACATTAAAAACAAGGGATATTCGTTACACAAATCTACCAGGTTAAATTAAATATTGGATAAAAATGGTCTAAGTCTGAGGCAAATATATTATACAAATGTATTTGTATATATTTTTCAAATCTTTTATATATTTCATACTGATGTTTTTTTTGTTTTTTTTTATGAAAGGTGTAAACTGTACTATTGACGACCCATGTTTAGAACGGAAGACAAATTGCCCGGCCGGAAGTGTTTGCTACGGAGACTGTGATCCGAACGTTATATGTGAAGGAGCCACAGGTTTTGCTCATTGCCGAGGTTGTGTGGCAGGCTGGACCGGCCTTCACTGTGAAGAAGATATCAACGAATGCGACGGTATAAAATTTTAGTGAGATTAAAAACCATACTTATTACCGTATTCCGGTATATACCGGACAATGCTTTGAATTCTAAAATCTCGTCTTTATATCCGCCGAAGTGCACTTTAAAAAGTCTATTTCATCTCTTTTACGATATTGAAAGAATCGGCGAAAAAAAGCGATAAATTTCTACTTTGTAAAGCGTCTAGAAGTACTCCAAATTAAATCCATAAAATTTAGCTTACTGAATAAGATATTTGTGAAAATGTGAATGCTACACTTGAGTAAAACTCATACTCTAGTAGTCTGTATCATGCGAGGTGATCTGAAAGCTGCATTCCCAAGTCTCAAGTAGGTCACGCAAATTTACGCAATCAACGTGTGCGATATAGTCCACCAGAATAACACACACGTGTAATTCACGTTTTATTATATGCAATATTAAAATGACTAAAAAATTCTGTACAAATCCTAAATAGTAAGTTCCTAATGAACCTAACTGTTCATATGTTGTTCAAATGTTGACATGCGTATGAGTATCAAGTCAATATACACAGAATGTTGTAATTAAACAATTGATAGTATAACGCCGGAAAACGCCGGAAACTGCAAAATCATTGTTTGACGGGGACATTAAAAAAATGTAATGTAAAGAAAATACATAATGATAGTATTACACTGTAAACAAGCATTGCCATATGATAAAAACGCACAGTGCTAGTGATGACTTTAACACGTTATTCATAAATGTTTTTTTTTTGTAGATACCATCAACCCGTGTTTAAACAATGGTAAATGTAATAACATCAAAGGAGACTTTGAATGCATATGTGCAAGTGGTTGGAAAGGAAAAGTATGCGATTGTGAAAAAGGTAAGAATTGCATGCAACATTTAATCATGCGGTTGATTTTCGTTATGTGAATATATTATTTACCGATGACATCCAGATGAGACCGGTGCAAACCAAGATCGCCCCGCTTATTCATTGTCTGCACTGTGCATTATTCAGTCTCTACATCTTTTAATATTTCCCCTAAAATAATCCATTGTTTTGTCTAGATTGAAAAGATGGACAAGTCCATTAAAGATATTTAGCATAGAAAGATCAATATACTTTTCCCCTCAATATACTCTCTTTTTTATCTAAAAAAAAGAGACTAAAATGTATAAGTTTATTTTTTCTGATTACAACATTTCGGGATTTAATGGATTATTCTTTGCATATTAAAATGAAATTCAGTTTCAACCTTGTCACACTAGTGGTTCCTTTTTCAATGTATGTATTTATTTTTGATGTTTTAGGAACTGCATGCGATTTCGAAGAGTCTAAGACAACCGTTGGACCAACTGGTAAAGGGACACAACTCATTTGCAACATATCTGTATTCATAGTTTCTTTAATTACGTACACAATTTGGACTGTGTAGATATGAACGTAGAGAAATTTTAATTTTTTTTATTTGGTTTTGACTGAAAAAAGTGCTACAGAATTCTTTCTTTATAAGCAAAGATCTCGTGCTCTGATTGAGTTATTAAATTGTGTAAGGTCAGTCTAATACGCTAACGTCATGAGAACTATGTCATCATGGTCTTCAAACCTGGAATAAATGGCATTTGAATGAAAAGTGAAAATAAAGAGATTATCACCGTGTGTAAGGATTTGTTAACATTCCTTTAAGAGTGAACGTATTTGAGCATACATTTTTAAAGCATCAAATACATGTAGAGATGAATATGTGTTTTCAGTAGGGGATTTCACAGAAAATCAATGTTATAAGTAAATCAATGTCATTAGTAAATCAAAGTTATAAACAGATCGATTGAACTAAAAAATCAATGCAAGTAGGAATGGATACAAATGGAACTAGTAGCTCAATGGGACTAGTAAACCAATGAAACGCATACATCCATGGATTTTTTAAACGAATGTTATCTAGGAAATCGATAAAACATATAAATCAAAGGATTTATTAAATCAGTGGAACAATGAATCCAATGAAACACATAAATCTGTAGAATTATTAATCAATATAGCAAGTAAATCAGTGGAACTAGTAAATCGATGAAACAAATACATCTATAGAATTATTGAATCAGTGGAACTAGTAAATCGATGAAACAAATACATCTATAGAATTATTAAATCAGTGGAACTAGTAAATCGATAAAACAAATACATCTATAGAATTATTGAATCAGTGGAACTAGTAAATCGACGAAACTCATACATCTATAGAATTATTAAATCAGTGGAACTAGTAAATCGATGAAACAAATACATCTATAGAATTATTGAATCAGTGGAACTAGTAAATCGATAAAACTCAAATACATCTATAGAATTATTAAATCAGTGGAACTAGTAAATCGATGAAACAAATACATCTATTGAATTATTAAATCAGTGGAACTAGTAAATCGATAAAACACATACATCAATAGAATTATTGAATCAGTGGAACTAGTAAATCGATAAAACACATTCATCAATAGAATTATTGAATCAGTGGAACTAGTAAATCGATGAAACAAATACATCTATAGAATTATTGAATCAGTGGAACTAGTAAATCGATAAAACTCATACATCAATAGAATTATTGAATCAGTGGAACTAGTAAATCGATGAAACAAATACATCTATAGAATTATTGAATCACTGGAACTAGTAAATCGATAAAACACATACATCAATAGAATTATTGAATCAGTCGAACTAGTAAATCGATAAAACACATACATCAATAGAATTATTGAATCAGTGGAACTAGTAAATCGTTGAAACAAATACATCTATTGAATTATTAAATCAGTGGAACTAGTAAATCGATGAAACAAATACATCAATTGAATTATTAAATCAGTGGAACTAGTAAATCGATGAAACAAATACATCTATAGAATTATTAAATCAGTGGAACTAGTAAATCGATGAAAAACATAAGTTACTCAATGGAACTAGTAAATTGATACAAAACGCAAAACCTCAAATGACTTTTTATTATACTAATTGAAGTAGTTACTCAATGAAACTAGAAAATCCATAAACGACATATATATCAATGGATTTATTAAATCAGTGGAACTAGTAAATCGATGAAACATTAAATCATCAAGTAAAACATAAGCATCATACATGTAGTTATTTCTGGTCAACAATTTTGCCAATGAGAAACAGAATGTCTTTTAAGCAGCATATACAATGTACAAGTATATAATGGATATATGGTTTACATGTACAAATATATACAGTTGTGTATGAAGCATATACTTATAATACAAAAATATATATTTTGGCATACAAAGGATTCAGTTGTTAACATTTAAAGCTGTGTAATTTAGAAATGTAGCACTAATGCTTTTTTTGTTTATTTATGATATTTTAATTTGCTTTTTTGTTGTATATATTTTGCATATACAGTACAACTTGTGCTTAGCAACAACCTGCGGAAGTTCAAAATTCTGGTCGTTGCCGAGAGGTATTGTCTTAGAAAGATTATTTTCATTATGAATGTTAATTTTGGGAAGAAATTATACTATCGTTGTGCACAGGTTATTGCTCTACAGAAGGTCGCTCTCCAGAGGTTATACTGTATATCAACTTTTTTTCTTCATGTTTTAGTTTGTGTTATTAGTATATTTGTTTACTTATAAATGTATGTATTAATGGACAAAAACATCTCGCTTGTATTTAAAGTATTAGATTGACATTGTATATTTTTTGAGAATGAAATGAAGGTTGTAAGCAATTTGCACTGTATAGAATATAATGTCATATAACATTTTTTACCAGATAAGTAAATTTATATATTAAATAATCAAAGACGGCAACACACACACACACTCGCACGCACGCACGCACGCGCGCGCGCACACACACGCACACACACGCACACACAGAGCTTTCATAACTATAGAACGCTTGATTATTTTGCGGTCGAAATATTTTAAAGGAAGTCCACTGAGCTCGAGGTCAAAAAGCACAAAAACATAAATTTTAAAATTCTTGCATAGTCTTAACTAGGGCACTTAAAACAGTGATATGTAAAAGGTTAAAAGAAATATGATCAGAATTTAATTTGAATTCATTTATTTTGTGCGATTCAAAGCCAGATTTGAGCTAAAAGCATTTAATTAAGGTCATTTTTCACAATATTTTTTTTCTGGAAAAATGAGCGAATGATCACAAGTTATCGGTCTAGACAGGGCCTAAGGTACACAAATCTCGATAAATATTTCAAGTATTGTAATGTCAAAAATACTCAGTGGTGCCCCTTTAAGGCATTTTTTTCTTGTGCATTTTGAGTAATGGGAATAAGTCCCTTTATTAAGATACTTTTCTGAAATGGCGAGTATATTTATGAACTACGATCCAATACAAACGGCACATACGTGTGTCTATATATCTATGTTTTTGAAAACAAAATGAGCCGCGTCACGATAAAACCAACATAATGGGTTTGCGACCAGCATGGATCCAGAACAGCCTGCGCATCCGCGCAGTCTGATCAGGATCCATGCTGTTCGCTATCAGTTTCTTTACTTGTTAAAGGGTCTGTAAGCGAACAGCATGGATCCTGATCAGACTGCGCGGATGCGCAGGCTGGTCTTGATCCATGCTGGTCGCAAACGCACTATGTTGGTTTTGTCATGGCGCGGCTCAAATGTTGTACTGACGTCATTGGATATGTTACACATGTATTTCCCAGCAAATTGACCATTAGATCTGATATGACCCAACACAATCTGTATTGGTATTGTATATTTTTGATATTATAATACTAAAAATAATGTAATACTAGTATATAAAAGATGTTTTAGAATGCTCCTATTTAAATATAGGTGTGTAATTTGTTCATACATGTATAATTCTACGGCAAAATCATGATTTTAATTCAAGCATATATTATATTAGTTATGTTAGTTCGATTTATATTTTCAGTTGTTTTATGTTGTAGATTATATACATTTTCTATGTACAATGTGAGAAATGAGATTTTAGATATTACAAAAGCATTAATATAGAGAATAATAGGTTGGTGCCGTGGATTGAGAAAGTTTATCTGGCGAGGCGGAGGAATTTATTGGGTGAGCCGAAGGCGAACCCAATAAATTCCGGAGCAGAGCCAGATAAACTTTCTCCATCCACGGCACCAATCTATTATTCTATTTATCCTGTCACCGTTTTTTTAAAGAATTTTATTAGGCAAACAACCTTTAATCACACTATCGGAAATGTTTCTATATAAAACAAAGAAGGCCCTAAAATTTTCTACACCAATGCACTCGCCGTTCTTATTATCTCCCCGTGTATTTTCACATTGAGGGCGCCATTTTGTTTGAAAAATGTGATAAATAAAAACAATTTTTTGTCGAATTTTGTTGTGAAAACTATCTAGAATGAAAGAAAATGGTCTAACTAAGAAAATGAATTCGAATACCAATATCTTTTATTCAGTCGTTAACGCTGTGCAGACGTTTAAAGTATTGTTTACGTGACGTCACAATGTAGCGCCAAACAGCACGTGCAAAACAATCAAATCAAGTACGCTATTCTAAAATGTCGCAAACAGTTAAGTTTTACATTTATTTCACTTTAAATAATTTTTATTTCGCTTGAAAAATTATAGAATGAAATAAAATAAACAAACAAAGTTTTATCAACGTTTCCAAAATTCGTTATTCTACACACAGAAGATTTAACGACAGTTTTTATATTTTTTTCTTGAAAAGTAGTCCGGCAAACATGCATACCACGTGATCAAGTGCCGTAGATCAGTAAAAATATACGGCACCTTGTTATCGGGCCGAAATTGATACAAGTGACAGGATAAATATATATATATATATATATATATAAATATGTAAATCTTTCAAAAGTGTTTGTCTTTGTCCCATTCCCGTGTTACAACTTCGGTTTATTAAAGTTGAGCGGCGGCCTAGTGGTTACTGTGTCAGCCTCTCACTACAGAGATCTTAGGTTCGAGCCTAACTTGGGTCACGACTATGTTTCCTCATATATAACAAGTACTGGTTAGTTCAAGGAAGTGGACTAGTAAATGCTGAAAAGGTTTCTTCACTATCCGGCTTAAATAAGTAATGTTTTAATTAGATTAAGAACTTCAGTTGACTTGTCATGTTTTGAATAAGACTAAAACCCTAGACCCTGATTGTGATACCAACAAGCTTGTACTTAAAAAAAATCCAGGAACGCTTTCATCAGGTAGAAGTACACTGATATGCAACTGAAACACTGTGAAAATGATGCTTAACCTCCATAACTGAATGGACGAATAATTGAATGAATGAATGAATGAATGAATGAATGAATGAATGAATGAATAATAATAATAATAATAATAATAATAATAATAATAATAATAATTATTATAATTTTGCGTGTAAGACAAATGGGAAAATGGTCACTAATGAATAAGGAAGGTACAAAAACATGAATGAATAAATGAATGAATGAATGAATGAATGAATGAATGAATGAATGAATGAAAGAAAGAAAGAAAGAATGAATGAATGAATGAATGAATGAATGAATGAATGAATGAATGAATGAATGAATGAATCCATCCATCCATCCATCCATCCATCAATCAATCAATCAATCCATAAATACATCGATATAAGTGAGTACTAATAAGTATAGTGTTTAACACAGAAAAATCTAGTAAATGACGCAGTGTGACAAGCTACTAGCATACTGCAGCAATGTGGCGGCCTATATTCAAGATGGTATGCAAGCGCAGATATCCCGTTTTAAAGTGTATATATTGTTAAATGTACTTAAGGGTTTCCTATTCTCTTTATTATCTTAAAAATAGCATATTTTTGAAATTGTCAAGGGTCAGACGAAAAACAATGATATACATTTACGCATTTTGTAAAATCATATCAGAATAGAAGCGTTTCTTCAATTTGTTTTTTTTTTTCATGGAAAGATCGGCTAAAGTAGTTTTCGTGTAACTGTAAGAAGGAATTCTAGAAATTCGCTAATATATTTGCTTTACAAAGCTGGACAAGACTGGGACACATCCATTTAATGCGTTGTATATAGATACATTATTATGGTTGGAGTTAAAGCAGTCTTATGGTTTGCTGGAATTGTGATGTTTTCCAAAGGTAAGCTTCTTATAATTTTATGAATTATTCCATAATTAGTTTGATAATTAGTTTGAAATTTATTTACTCTGAAACTTTGTATTATTTGATAAAACAAAAAAAAGAATCGTGTTTTCTTGTGAACAATATTGTCACGTTTAGTTGTTCATTGACTGGATTTTAGCTTTAAATTCATCTCTTAGACTAATTCTCTTTGGAAATTACGAGTCACTACTTTGTGCTTCTATCTTACACTTTAAACTCGAGTGAGAATGAAACGGCATATATATTTTATCCGTTAAAGTCCGAATTTTCCGAAATGTTCGAAAGTATAGACAACATAGATGTATAAAATCAAGCTGTTTCAGTAATGTTATGACTTTCCAGATTTTATACACTGCGAAGATATATTGCCTGATCTCGGACCGGAAGGTCCAACATTTGACACATGCGAAACTTTCGAATGTCCTGTGAATTCTACATGTAAAGATGACGATGATTATGTGTACTGTATGTGCAGCTTTGGGAAAGTAGGTATGTATTTTATTTTTTGTAAGGGTTTCAAAAAGCTACATTGACTCAAAGTAGAGATGGCGTAATGGTTAAGATCATTGCCTTCCATATCTGGGGTCTCGAGTTCGAGCCGCCCTGTTTGGTGTTAAGACCATGTTTCGTCATTGGTGTGTTTTTAAAGGGACTCTGGGTTTTTGACATGACGGGACTGGAAATATTTTTATTATTACTCCATCTGATGTAGGTCTATACCAACAATTTATGTGCAAATTTTCAGATTATTAGCTCGCTTCGTTTTTCCAGAATAATTATTTTAATTGTCAATAATGACCTAAAATTGAAAAGCGTTTAAACGCTTTTCACTCAAATCGGACTGAGAATAACACAAACATACGATTTTCAGTGTATTTCTTGGTCTATTTATTAATTATCTTTCGTATATATTTCCGTTTGAGGTGCACCAGTTGATCTATGTGAGAAACTAAAATTTTATGGCTTTAGGCTTATGAACCACAGTGGGAGAGACCGAAAGTTATCTTTAAAACTTTTCATCACAATCGGACTAAACTAAAACTAAATGTGACACAGACATGTCTACCTATCACGTAAATCATGAACATTTTAAATATGAAATTACTCGCAACTCAAAATACATAATCTATTTTAGGACACCTTCGATCTTTGCATTAGTTTGAAGATTCCGTGTCTTTCAATTGTAATAAGTATTGAAATATATAGATTCACAACAAATATATGGAACAATTAAATATATCTCAGCAAACACCCACACATGCATGCACGTGGAAAAAATAACTGAATCAAAAGTACATGCCATATATATAGATGGGCACGAAATAAGGTACAACAGATATTTTCACGGTCACGAATGGTTGTTTTTATACCAAATAATTGTGTTTTACATTCAATCTACTAAACAATTTTTTAAAGGAGCTAACTGTGATATAGACGATCCATGTTTAGAAAGGAAGACCAACTGCACAGTTGGAAGTATTTGTTACGGAGACTGTGAACCGAACGTTATTTGTGAAGCGGCCACAGGAACTGCTCATTGCAGAGGGTGCGTAGACGGGTGGACAGGCTTATTTTGCGAAATAAAACTCAATAGATGTCAAGGTAATATAAGACACGTTAAATTGTAAATATGATTCTCCTCTGACAAAACTGCAATGCCATTTTTTTTAACAAAGCTGCAGAAATTTGCTGGATTAGTTTAAAAGGGGCATTGATCCTCGAAAAGGAATACGATATTTCCTTTAACCCTTACCCTGCTGAATTTCTCAAATGGACTTTTCCAATTTTAATTTTGGATCAGTCCATTATGAATTTTTAGTATATCAAAGTAAGAATTTGAAGTTGGACAGCCAACAGTACGTGCAGGCTGGCCTGGCTCTATACTGGTGGCAAATACTGATCAGTTTAAAGAAAAGTCAAACCAGTGTTTTATTATGTTTTAATAATTGAATTAAAACACGTAAGATGCTTGTGTTAATAAATAAAGCAATGTTGAATGTAAAATAATTATAATTTGCCATTAAAATAACAGAACAATGCATACAAGTTTTGTCTTTCATACAAAATACATATCACTATAAAAGGCGCAATATAAATGAAACGAATGCATTCAGCTCTGTATTATTGGAAAACAGAAGAAAAGAACGGTAGACGAACATAACACTAACTTAAAAGGACTACAATGTAAATTTTCATTTTTTTTGCTTATCGACCGCAGTGAAGCTACTTTACATAAATACACATTGAAATTTGCAATATCATGTATATAAAAACAGAGTGAGCCAACATCAAGAAATTTGCAAAATAATTCACAAACTATGCCGTTGTTATAACTATTTTAGAAACCGGTAATCCTTGCTCAAACAATGGTGTTTGTAAAGATATACAAGGAGACGTTAAATGCATCTGCAAAACAGGATGGATAGGAGAACAATGTGATTGCCAAAAGGGTAAGATCAATTATTTAGAGTCAAAATTTAAGTCTTGAAAAACAATCTGCTTTTATTACAGACTTAAACCACACGCAAAAAGCTTGGACAGCCTACACAATCGTACAGTTTGACTGGACTCTGTTCTTGGCCACTAAAACGATTAACGTTTTAATATGCATTAAGCAGTGCCAACATTTTTGTTTAATTTTAGAAGAGTTAATATGAGAATATGAGAAGACTGTTTGAAGCCGTTCATACATACATCCGAGAAAGCAGGAGATTCTCTTAAGCATATTCACATCAGCTCAAATCAATAAATACTTCCCATTTAAATCGCCGAACTATCCGAATGATCCACATTTAATTTATTTCTTCTTCTTTTCTATTTTGCTGAAAGTTTCTTACTTCATTTCTTTCTTTCTTAATTTACGTTATTTCTCTTTAATTTTATATAACAAATGATGCAGTCTTGTATTCTCATTCATTTTTTTGTATATATTTTTGCTTTACATTATAACTAAATGTTAGAAACAATTTTGACTTTAACTTCTTAAAAACAATGTAAAATCAGATATATTTCAAGCAAGTCACATATACTGTCATACCGTATTTTATGCATTGTAAATCTGTAAGGAGAAGGCCTTTATAAGCTCAGCTTTCGGACCCAATCCTTTTTCAACATATCATGTTTGTATTGTGTACATTATTGTCTGTATATATATTGTGAATTTGTTCGAAATAAACTATGTTTAAACTAAACTATGAGATCTAAAGACCCATCATTTCCCGACGATCATGTGAGATAATTTGCAAATTAGAAAGTTTTCTTAAATAATAGATAAGACAGATATCAATTATACAAAATCAAATTGATCTCAAATAGGTAACAAACGCAAAGAAAAAACAAGAATAAGTTTAAGATATAGTACAAATTTATTAATAAATAAAGTGTTATATTATTAATTTAAGAAAATGATTTCTTGTTTAAAGGAACTCAGTTGAGGTCCAAAAGCCTAAAACATAAAATTCGAATTTCGTACACGAACCAGGTGGGGAAAATAGAACAGAAAGATATGCAAAAGATAATTACGAAAAACTAAAAATCAAATTCAGCCCAATTTGAGTGAAAAGCGTTGCAACGCTTTTCAATTTTTGGTCATGTTTTCAAAATAAGAATTCTGGGAAAAAGGGAGTTAGGTAATGGTCGGACATTTTGTACAAAAGTTATTGGTCTAGACCAAAATTAAATGGGGCATTAAACTCGAAGAAGACCCGACATGTCAAAAAACCTCAGTGGAGTTTCTTTAAGCAAGAACATACATTTAATGCAAGCAAGATAAACGTAATTACGTTTCAAAATAATATTTTTCATTAAAAATGCAAAAGAACGTTTTAAACATGTCAATATAATTTAAAAAAAAAGAAAAAAAAGACACACTGACAAATTTATTCTTGACACAAACTTTGGTTTGTATAATATTGTATATACCTACTTATGTTTGCAGTGACATATTTTGACCTATTAAACATTTTGCAAGTGTACAACATTTTGATAAGATCACACTTGAGTTCAAACAATTCAAGTATGTTGCTGCGAAACTTAATTATCGGACAATAATTTCACTCTTCTTCATGTATCAAAGTACAGAAAGTACTTTCTTTTTAAGACTTTCCATTTTGAGATGCAATATTACAGACACATGAGTAGAACCACAAACGTAACGTAAGTAACCTGGATAGCTTCCTCATGGAAAAGAATCAAAAGTTCCTAGCAGGATTCGAACCGACCACAGTGAAGTAAAAATAGTTAGAAATCAACGACCTTTACCAATCCGCCACGGAGGCGTTTTCCTTAATTGTGTATTATTTTAATATAACTTAATTGCTTCATTATTTAAAGTGTAGCTGTATGTTCAATAAAAACAACGAACTTTCTTTTTGTAAATCAAATTTAGAATTCGATTGGGTTCGAATATCTGAGCATTTTAAACACACTAAACACTTTTTAACGTTACACAAATATTAAAAATGGATTTTGTTCTGCGGACAGGTTCTGAATGTGACGCTGGTGAGATTATTGATGAGAAAGAAGACGATGAGAAAGATAATGATAAAGATGAACCAGTGACAGAAGCTTCCAAATCCGGGACAGAATCAGATCTAGTCTGCAGTATCGCTGTTCATGCTATTTCAATTATTATCTGTCTTACTTTGTAACTGTATTCTGTATATGTGACGATATCAATAGATTTTATGACATTATATCATTGCCAATTTATTTTCTGTGAATGACAATGACAATAGTTTTTATGGCATCATGTCATTGATTTTTTTTCGTATATTACATTGACAATAGTTTTGATGACATTATATCGTTGTCAATGTATTCTCCCTTACATGACAATGACGCTAGATTTTATGACATTAAGTCATTGTTTTCTCGTATATGACATTGACAATAGGTTTTATGATATTATGTCATTGTCTTTTCCGTATATTATATCCTTGTGATTTATACTGTCGGTATATAATAACGATAATAAACAAGATGTGATGAATAAAGCAGGCATAATTATGTACTTATTGTATTGATTTCATTTGTCTTATTGAATGATGTACATTAATTTTTTGTTTAAACGATAACAACTTTTTTTACCAATATATTATGCATCATTTTGGTTGCCAAGCAAATGATCTTACCTTTTTTAATAATGATTGTGGTGGTGTGTATGGTTATATGCAATAATTTCTATTTCAATATTCTTTAAGTAAAAATCATTCATATTCGAGTCTTTTGCTCGACGCAATAGAAAATGTTGTTAAGAAAAGCAAGTTATCTTTTTTTTCAAGCTTCGGGCCCAGAAGCAGGAAACCCCATTTATTTTGTACTTCTTTCATACATACACACATTCATATGGTACACGTACATATGGTATTGACAGAGTTTCTTTCTCATACGAGAAAGAGACAAAGCGTTGTCCGCTCCCTTTTATGAGGGCAAACAATAAAAGTATGCCATTTCCTTATTGTCATAAGGTTGTATAATTCAGAAAAAATGACTTGAATTGGTATGTATGCAATTGTAGTAATGCAATGCGGGGATCAGTGGTCGTTCAATAATTTTTTTCTATGAATGCGTATTACGCGAATAGTATTTTGTTATTATTCACTGTAATTATTATAAAATGATGCTTATGTTGTTAACTTGATGTACATGGACATCTGAGCTCTTCCTGCACCAGGAAAGCTGGAATGTCGCCATATGACCTATACTGGGTCGGAGTGACGTAAAACCCAATCAAACAGCAACTTGCAAGCCGTGAAAGACAGCAGTCCGTACAAATTTGACTTGAGAGTGGCAATCGTATTTTTCACAGCTTGGCGAATTAGTTGCGTGTGCCTGTCCGCATTTAATTTTCGCACCTTTAAGAGGGAACAAAGATAGGCTGTCAATTTTGAGTTAAGTGAGTCATCGTTTAGTACATTTGTTCAGGTATAAATGCGATTAATTATATTCGTGATTCATTAATGAAATTACAATCAATAAGTGTAAAACCAAATTAACTATTGTAAAAAAATTGATTCGATTATAAATCAATTATGGAAACGAAGTTAGCAATGTATCATCAACATGATGTAGAATTGGTTAGGTTTCAACGAGCATGTCATCAAATACTGCAGCTGAATGGAAGATTAGACGAAATTAGTAAACGCTACATGTCTGCGAAAGACAATAACAATAAGCTCTTCCGGTACTCACTGCGCAGCCGGATGTTGATCATAGAAGGCATGCTGACAGCATACTGCAGCTATGCTAAAATGAAGAAATCGGAGATTCTCAAACTAAGAAGCAAGCTTAACGTTGAAATAAACAGTATGAACGAAGACCAATCGAGTGAGGACGGAGAGATTTCGAGTGATGAAGAGTAGCCAGGGTACAAGAATATTGATTGATGTGCTAAAGAGGCGTTGAACAACGGATAATGTTCAATCACAGGGGCCCGGCCCATTGTATTGATTTTCGTTGCCTTATTTACAGAGTAAATATGCTGTCAATGCATAATTTCTTCGCTTAGGTTTATAAAAGCAAGATTGTTGGACATCTCAGTCACTCATTTGACAATATGATTAACTATGAACAAAGTTATGTTTTGTTATGTATGTCATCGTTTAGATATATGATATTGTTTTATAATAAAATTTTCTTACCAAAGAAACAATTTCCTCTTTTATTTATTACTCTGTAAAGGTAAAATTGTGTATTTCGTACTTCTGTGTCTTTTCGTAGACTCATAGGATGTTATGCCTTATATTATTTTAATCGAACAAAATGTAACGTTCGACAAACTCAATATTAACATCTCTGCTATAAATGCGAGGTGTCGACGTCCTGTGTCGTACGGTAATAAGGTCCTAGCGATTTCATGTCATTGAGGAATATCCCTTAGATCAGTATTTCCAATTAAACGGACAGCATACCATCTCAAAATCCTCCACATCGACTGTTTCAAACGACACTGAAAAAATATTGATTCTAAAAACGTTTGTGCTATATCTTATAGCTTATGCAACAACATAACCGATTTATTTTCTGTGTGCGGAATTTTCATAAAATATATATATAAATATCTGAAAAAAAAGAAGATTTTTTCTATGTTTTTGTTCACACTGAACTTTGAATTTGTAAAGGCTATAAACATTGTATTAACGTGTTTAATGCTTAATAAAATTTTCGTATTCATAAAATATAAAGCTGTAAGCTGTTGAAAATGGCAGCATGCGTATTACAGAAAATAAACATTTTCACAGCTTATAAAATATGTGCCGTGTGTCCCTTTGTTTGAGTTGTTTCACACCTTTAAACTGTAAGCAAAATAGGTGTCGATATTGAGTTAATCGAATCTTAATGAGACAGATTCTCTAATTATCTTGCCTATAAAAGTAAGTAATATGTTTGTAAATAGTCATTAGCCAAATTACAATCATTGCAATATCTAATTAACTTAGAATATCCAAATAACACATTGATTATGGAGATGAAGATCGAAATATATCACCAGCATAATATTGAAACGGTCAGATTTCAACGAGCATGTGAGCAAATACTTCAGCTAAATGGAAAATTAGAAGAAATTAGTAAACGCTACATGTCTGCTAAAGATAGCAACAATAAGCTCTTCCGGTATTCACTGCGCAACCGGATGTTGATCATAGAAGGCATGCTGACTGCTTACTGTGGTTATGCTAAAATGAATCGGAGATTCTAGAACTTAGACGAAAGCTTAACGTTGAAATAAACAGTGTGAACGAAGAGTTTTCGAGTGATGATGAAGAGATGATTTCGAGTGATGAAGAGTAGCCTTGGTTTAAGAATGTTGACGGCCATGTTAGCAAGACGTTAAGCAACTGATAATGTTCAAACACAGAGGGCCATTGTATATCGTTGACATTTGTTGCCTAAGTAAATATGCTGCCAATGCATAGTTTCTTTGTTTATGATTAAATGTAATGAAGTGTTATGTAGGACACATTTCATACACTGATTTGACAAAATAATTAACTACAAACAAAGTTATATTTTTGTTATGTATGTCATCGTTTAGATATATGTTATTGTTTTACAATAAAGTTTTATTACCAAGTAACATTTTCCTCTTTTATCTGAAAAGGAAGAATTATTTATTTCATACATCTGTGTCTTTTTATAAAATCATTATAACATAGGAGGTTACGCGTAACCGAACAAAATGTTATGTTTGACACATTCAGTATCAACGATATCTCTACTAGTTTTTCCTTACAAAAATGCGAGACGTCGACGTCCTTTATCGTAAGGCAATAAGAACCCATGGAATCAGTATTTCCAATAAAACGGACAGCATACCACCTCAAAATCCTCCACATGGACTGTTTCAAACGACACTGACAATTTATTGATTGTAAAAACCAAAGGAGGAGGAGGTGTCGACGTCCTGTGTCGTACGGTAATAAGGTCCTAGCGATTTCTTGTCATTGAGGAATATCCCATAGATCAGTATTTCCAATTAAACGGACAGCATACCATCTCTTACGTGTTTAATGCTTAATAAAATTTTCGTATTCATAAAATATAAAGCTGTAAGCTGTTGAAAATGGCAGCATGCGTATTACAGAAAATAAACATTTTCACAGCTTATAAAATATGTGCCGTGTGTCCCTTTGTTTGAGTTGTTTCACACCTTTAAACTGTAAGCAAAATAGGTGTCGATATTGAGTTAATCGAATCTTAATGAGACAGATTCTCTAATTATCTTGGCTATAAAAGTAAGTAATATGTTTGTAAATAGTCATTAGCCAAATTACAATCATTGCAATATCTAATTAACTTAGAATATCCAAATAACACATTGATTATGGAGATGAAGATCGAAATATATCACCAGCATAATATTGAAATGGTCAGATTTCAACGAGCATGTGAGCAAATACTTCAGCTAAATGGAAAATTAGAAGAAATTAGTAAACGCTACATGTCTGCTAAAGATAGCAACAATAAGCTCTTCCGGTATTCACTGCGCAACCGGATGTTGATCATAGAAGGCATGCTGACTGCTTACTGTGGTTATGCTAAAATGAAGAAATCGGAGATTCTAGAACTTAGACGAAAGCTTAACGTTGAAATAAACAGTGTGAACGAAGAGTTTTCGAGTGATGATGAAGAGATGATTTCGAGTGATGAAGAGTAGCCTTGGTTTAAGAATGTTGACGGCCATGTTAGCAAGACGTTAAGCAACTGATAATGTTCAAACACAGTAAGGCAATAAGAACCCATGGAATCAGTATTTCCAATAAAACGGACAGCATACCACCTCAAAATCCTCCACGTGGACTGTTTCAAATGACACTGACAATTTATTGATTGTAAAAACCAAATTGCTATATCTTATAGCTCATGCAAGAACATAACCGATTTATTTTCTGTGTGCAGAAGGGTATGCAATCATACGTCCTGTAGCATGTTAATGTAACAAAATATTCAGATTCATGGACTATATTTGACCTTGCATAATATTTCCAATATAAAATATTATATATGTGTGAAATTTATTATATGTATATGTGTAAAAGATATTACGAAGTTATTCTTTTCATAATTTATGCTCTTAAAGGTTACTGGTGATTTGTTTTATTTTTATTTATCTTATTTTTTTTAAATTGAGACACATAGGAGATGAGCTACAATTTAACTTTCCTGTAAAAATGTTTAAAAACACATTCCCTGTGCATTACGTTCCGATTGAAACGATAAAAATCGGCATTGCCAAATTGGAAATAAGGCCAGAAAAATATAACAAAAAGTTCTAAGAACGGGACAACCTTTTACATTTTTAACATGCATCTGTGAGTATAAACATCCTTGAAGGGCACCATTTAAGAGCAATGGACACAAAGCTACGAACTTAACGCTAGACAGTAAAGATAATCAATATCTCTTTGTGCTTGTACGTTTTCTCTTAAATTTTGCCCTTTAACCGGTCATAGAAATAATATAAATGTTGTTTTTTTGTGCATAAAGCTTGCAAAATGCGAACCTGTCAGT